AATATAAAATTATAAGATGCTATGTGTTTATTCTAAACTACACACGATAATTTGAAATATTAATTAAAATTACGATAAAAACTGCAGTGGAATTCAACCAAAAAAAACTGCAGTGAATATTTTTTTACAAAACCATGACCCGAACAGATTATTCAAAATATTTCCCGTGACAAAAAAAATTAAATATTTTCCCAAACTTTTTATGCACCTATCTGTGGAAAAAGCAAAGTAGGCGTTGAAAAAAGAAGACGAGAAATTTCAAATCTTGGTGTGTGTAATAAATGAGCCCACATATTTTATTCCTCTTTTTTTTCCCTGTAATTTTTCCTCTTTTTTTTCTGAACTAAAGGGAAAGAAAAAATTCTTTATATTGTTCCTTTTACAATTAAACCTAATCCAATCGTACATCAGCTGTTTTGAATTTAGAAAAAAAAAATACTAACAATGATATGAAAGTGATGGACTATATAAAATATCTTATATTCTCTCATAGATTTTACTGAAAATTTCCAAACTTGACATAAGATATTGACCAATGAGTTCAATGATTTGGATTGCATTACTGAATTTAAGAAATAGAAATAAAATTTGTCGTGGTGGCAACTATGAATACTTTGTTGAAGAAATTGACAGATGATGAAAAAATAAATAAATTAAAAAATATCAAAACATGGAAAAGGAAAAATATGAAACAAGATATGTCCATCTTCTCACATGGAGGGTGGATCTTTGTGTTTCGTCACCAAGACATGAAAAGAACACGTCCAAGGAACCAATATCTCATCACAAGTTCAAAACCACTACTTTAGAATCCGATAACTAAATAAATAAATAGAATTTGATATGCTTATCTTATCTTCTTCCACTAGATTTTGCCCACATCTAGCTTTAAGGCCCATCCATACGATAAGTCGCATAATTATTTTTTTTATGATCTAAAATAACACAATCTTGAATTAGATCTTTGAGTAGACACTCGTTTTCTAATTATCTCGACCTCGGTGTATTTGAATTTTTTATTAAAAAATATTTGTGAATGAAAGGAGTTCATAGGAAATATAGAAAGGAAATGCAATCCTCTCCAACTTAACTCTTACAGTTTACATAGATGTCATGCATACACCTTCATTTTATTAAACTTATTTCTATTAAAGATCTAGTTACTTATACGGTTTACATAGCGAAAAAAATTTAAAATATTCGAATTCGTATACAATAACTCAGGATGTTAAGATATGTTATGATTTGAAATTCGATGTTATATTAATGAGTTTAAATATCTAGAAATTTTTTTTGATATACATGGCTTTGAAACTCCAATTTTTTTAAATAAAGACAAGTTATATTTTGTAATAAAATTTAGATAAATTACAAACTTATAATTTTCAAAAATATAAGAAAATAAATTTTTATAATTTTCAATAAAGATATTTTTTTAATTATGTTTATAAAACTGCGAAATCTTATATCGAATATCATCAGATAATCTGTCCTAACAAACCAATAAGAATACATGAAAAATATTTTATAATTATGTTTGTAGAACCGCTAAATCTTCTGCCGAATCTCATCTATGGATAATAGGGGTGTCAATTTGGGTTCGAGGTCCGAAGCCCGGCCCGACACAGCCCGAAAATTAGCGGACTTCGGGCCGAAATTTCTTGGTCCGAAAAAAAACGGGCTTCGGACTTAATTATATAGGTCCGAAAAAAATCGGGTCGGTCCGAGTCCGAAAACCCGAAAATTTAAAAAAAAAGAAAAAAAGAGAAAAAAAACATTTATAAAGGAAGGTCCGCGGGCCGGCCCGGCCCAATTCGACTCGATTCGAGCCCGCAATACATAGGGTCGGGTTTCAGACTTAATTATATAGGTCCGAAAAAAATCGGGTCGGTCCGAACCCGAACCCGAAACTTCTGGGCAGAGTGCGGGTTCGGGCGGGGTCGGACCGGTCCGGCCTGATTGACACCCCTAATGGATAATCTATCAAAGCACCAATAAAGAATACATGAAGAAATCTTTATGACATGGAAATGGCAAAAAAATCATCCAAAGGGTAAGAAATATGGAGGTGAGGCTTTGAAGCCCCGTTGTGTCCCCCAAAGGAGGGGATAAGAATTCAGGGTTTGTGTCGATGGGGTCCACCAAATTGGGCCCAATGTGCCCTAAAATGATGACCATAATGGGCTCCAAAGGCCCAATCAAAGCAAATCATGCCCTCCATTTCCATATTCAGATATTGAATTCCGCCTCCCACAAATCCCCCGACCTAATCCCATCCGTCTGACACATCTGTATTGATTGCTGCACAGTCACACATGACATCGGAACTGTTGTTTTCTGAAACTATGTTTCTAAGAATCCGAAATCGACCGTTCCTATAATAATGGCTTTTATATATATATTCACCACTATAGTTATGTTTGAAATGTCATGCATACCTTCATTATATGTGTGTGTGTGTGTGTGTGTGTGATTTGAAGATAACTGAATGGAATTGAGTCAAATAAAGAGAAAATGGACTAAACTTTTTTTCATAAAATGTTCAAGGACAGCTACACATTTGAGGTGAAAATTCTAATTATAAAAAGGGATATTTTGTTTGTTTGTTGGTTTGTTAGTATTTACCTTATATACAACATTAATATGTGATATTTATGTATAAAAATGCGCCAGGGTATATATATGTATCCTTTTTATTTATTTCTAATTTAACATTCTCTATATGGAAATTACAATCGGATTGTACACGCAGAAGGTATAATTGTATAATATATATGGAATTATGGAGTAGAGAAACAATTATGTAAGAGATGGGACTGGTGAGGGAACTATAGCCATAACCAGCAACTTTTAGAATGCGAGGTTCAGAACAAAAGAAAGCTACGTTACAATCATATACGTATCCACCCATATCTTCAACATGACAGAAATATTAATGTATGCTCAATTAAAATAATAATAATAATTGTATTCATATGCAATACTTTTTCAATTCTCATTTATTGGAAAATTCACTTATTGTCGACCAAGGAAAAAAAATATTCACGCAAAAAATAAAACCAGTTAATTAATTGATTATTCCAAATGCAAGAAACCTTTGAATTTATATGCTGTTGAAATTTGACCTGGGAACGAATATGCATCCATTTAAAGTGTGTGTGTATATATACGGCCGTTTCTATAATTTTCAGGACCATGAAAATTAATAAAAATTATATATAACATCTAATCTATGATAAAGTTCTTCTTTTTCGGCTACGTTTCATGGTATATATACACTTTCAAATGAAATAATCCTTGATACAATTAATTGATTTGGACGAACTCCCAATAAAGGTAGAAAAATAAATTTAGGGTTTATACTATTTAAACGCGTATATATATATATGCACATATAATAAATATATTTTTTTAATCCATAAAATTCATATATATATATATAGGAGATCAAATTACATCATATCAAATCCTCACACCCACGATATAGTACGAGACAATAATCCGGAAGTAACTGATAATAAAATATGTTGTTAATTATAACAGATCAAAATAACGGAACCATGTACTAAGAAGTGATTCACATATAATATATTGGGATGTTAGGTAGTGCGAAATGGATGGGAGCTTTATAATGTAAATGCAACTGTCATAATCAAGGGAGGGGTCAAATTACTGTAAACACACATACTTGTATACTCTCTACGCCAAGACAAAAGCCCTTTCAAATGTCTTTGTACTAAAAACGACATATCATTTGTCACGTGTCAGCTTCCATTGATATGTCCCCGCACGTGTGGGCTCGAATCTCACGCAAACCACTACATATATATGATATGTAATGTACGTACCAACCATCACGATTAGTTTGTGTTTTTTCTTTTGTAACCATATACGTCGAAAACTAAATTAATACAGCTTTGGTGCTGTGCCCACTCGAGATCCCTACTTTATCTTCTTTCTTTTTCCTTATACTTTTAAATTTCTATCCATAATTATTGGAAGCTATTAATGAAGTTTTGGTAATTCAAAAGATAAGGCCAAACTCATCTTAAATATATGTGTGTATGTGTGTATATATAGCTATAATATTCATATCGTTATGTTCGTAAAACGGATTTATAATTTTATATTCTCTGTACGAGAATATGTTGGATAAATCAATCAGAAACCTAAGTTTTTTTTTTGTTAGTTAATCGAATGTATTACTTATGTTTCGCATTATGAAAGTACGAATTTCTTTTGATATTATTTGTCCAAAATTTTTAATGATATATATGTGTGTGTGTGTATATATATATATATATGGAGATTAGAACAAGTAAAGCGGAGATGATTAGCTTGACGAGGATCATGAAAGATTTTCGATTTGATCAAGGAGTGACTTCAAAGCACTTCATCAAAAGATGAATATGCAATGGTGGGATCCTACAATTGTCCCCCTCATTACTCTTCAACGACACCACACACACACGAATTCAGATTCTAGAAAAAGTCCAACGTGTACAAAAACTTACTAGTGTATAACATACACAATATATCTATCTATACATACACATAAATGTACATATTGGTGTGTCGATCGATGTGTATACAAATATACACACAAGATAAGATAAAACACCCACCAACATGAATTGCGAAATCCAAGTTGGAATCCAAGGCAACAATAAACACATGCCCCCACACCATCATAAAACACAGCCTATGAGAAAGCACATAAATTTCATATGCCCCCACCTCTCCTTCAATTAAGTTAATCAAAAGCACTCTCGCATCAAGTGGGGCCACACCCTTTCTATGTCCCTCCAAAAATAAATTTCCCCCACTATCTCTACACCAATCACATAATCTATACGGATGTAAATATATCATATCGTACGTGGCAATCCGTATAACCATGCTTACCAATGATGATGATGATCATCATCATAATAATTAGGAAGACATAAGTGGAAGTATCACATCAGTTGTTATAAAACGGAAACACCCTCCATTGATTTCAATCATTTCCTCTTTAAAAAAAAAACATAAAACCTCTTTTTTTTTTCCTTCTCCGCAAATCAAACACATAGAGACTTCTTCCCCAAGCTCAAACTTTGTCAACCATTCCCATTGACGATGTCCATGAAAGGCGTATCGTCAGCAGGCCCAGATAAGATCTTCAAGAAATCATCTCACAAGCGCAATGATTCAGGCGAACTCGACGTTTTCCAGGCGGCGAGGTATTTCTCCGGCTACAATGAACCGCCGGCCGACGATAGCTACGGGAGTTACACACACAAGCACAACAATTACACGAGAGATGAGAACCGGAGGAGATGGGGAAGAATCAGCTTGGATTTGCCGATTAGATCCTCTGAACCGGTCCATCATCATCCCCATCAAGATCACCATGTTCTTGAGAAACATGAAGTTTTCACCATGAAGGAGAAGATTTGTAACGTAAAACACAAGCAACCTAGTTCGCCCGGTGGGAAAATCGCCAGCTTCTTGAACTCTCTTTTCCACCAATCGGGTTTGAAGAAGAACAAGTTAAAGTCAAAGTCAAAGCCAGCAGCTCAGGCTCGGGATGAAGAGGAGAGCCCCGGAGGGTGGAGGAGGAGGAGGAGAAGCAGTATTAGCCATTTCTTGATGACCTCAGGAAGATCTTCAAACACAGTTTCAACGACGACGAATTCATCGTCCAAGTCTCTGTTTTCGTCTTCGAGCTCGGGTTTTAGAACTCCCCCTCCTTGCTTGAACACACCCACAAAGAACTACAAAGAGTACATCAACCATGTGGAAACCGACAAGAAGAGCAGCAACGACTTGACTTGGTTGGATGAGAAGCTCAATCTGATCGAGACTATGTCTGAAGGGCAGAGAGTTTGGTCCGAAAATGATCGGAGAAAGACAAATGGCCAAACTGTTTCAATTGAAGATGATGGAGCTGAAAGCGATTCGAGTTCTGATCTGTTCGAGTTGCAGAACTATGATTTGTCCTACGGAGGTTTGCCAGTTTATGAGACTACAAATGTTGATACGATCAAGAAGTGTGCGCATGTTCCCACCACTAGACATGTGTGATCAAAGAATATAAAATAGATCGAGATCTTGGTAACATGCACGAACATATATATATATATATGATCCCACTAATCTTCGGTTTGCTTTTGTTTGATTGATTAAGATGCTTGTATGTGTTATCTCATAGTTATGATCGAGTTTTGTTCTTCGAGATCTTGGATTTGGTGGTTGTGTATTTATCTTCTTTTTTGTTTTAATGAGATTTGAGGTTACTGTTGATAAATACATTAAATATTTGCGGTTTTTGCTTTTTTTTTATGAAATGTTTAATCTATTCCTTCAAAACTGGGTAGGACATAATACAGGATCAAGTCCACATTTATAACTTTCGCTAGCTTAACCTATATAGGAATTGAGCTTTACAGCAATATCTACGCAACTAATGTCAGCAACTTCTCAATACATAGTCCAAAAATACCATTTCTGAAGCAGTTGATTGCTTCTATTATAACCTGCCTGCTGCAAAGAGAGGAGAGAAGTCCGCACCGATCTGTCAATCCGTTGTCGGAGAACCTGAGTAGTCGAAGCCGAGTTTTTAAACACCCGACAGTTTCGTTCCTTCCAAATTTCGTAAACCGCATGTTGGATAAGTGTTTTCAATACCATTCTTCTTTCCCAACCATCTGCCTATGTAGGCTGCACCAACCACTGTCGACATCTCAGGAGCTCAGCCGGAGGGTTGGCCCAAATCTTCATTGCAAGCAGCTTCCAAGTTTCCGAGCTAAATGCACATTTACATGTTGAGCTTTGTGCAATATTCCATCGAAATAACCTATCACGCGTTGGCAGCCTCCTCTACATAACCATCCAGTGAACAAAAGCATACCTTAAAATCGCATATTTGAACCATACTAGATCGGCTCAGTCCACCTTTGGAGAAGTCTGCCTTAGTAACTTGCATGCACTTGATGTCAAAACATCATCCTTGTATACATCCTCAGCCGTCTTCCACTCGAATATTTGTTCTCTTGTCTGATTAATTTTCTTTATTTATAAATTTTCATGCATGCCGAATAAAATAAATGATATTATGTCAAGAGCTGTGTATCATGCCTTTCAATAGGAACAACCAAGAGAGATAACCGTGCCCAATTTTTTTTTTCAAAAGAAATTATTAGTTTGTCTTGAGATTTGATTTAACCTTAAACGATGTCCAAATCTTTTGATAATTGTATTAATAAATTGGTTGGGGACAAAAGAGAAAACCAGCTTTGTAATGCATAATAGATTACGCTCGCTTTTCAAATTTTTTTTTCCATGTTTATTAAATTTCATGCATGCATAGACTACACACACTCTCAATGGCATGATCCATGAGCTAAATAAAGGTTCCTATATATATACATATAGCCTTTACGGTTACTTATAAATTATAGTAACATGTCGGATATATATAAAATTGTGTTAAAGTTTATGAAAGAATTCGCTAGGTTTTTGTCATATATTTTCCTTTTCCTAATGCAAAAATATAAATTAGAGTTTGAATAATCAAAACTAAACTAGGTAGATTTAAATAAACAATCTTACGCAATAGATGATTCAGTGGAAATCATTTAAACTATTTCTGGATATTTTTATGTTGAATAAAATATATAAATGTGTGAGGAATATATATATATAAAAAAATACTAGAATCGTTTTGTAGTGTCAAATAGGTGAATGGAATAAAATTAAAATATAAATATAAATAGGGGATGTCTGAGCAATCATTATTTTATATGGTTGAACGTCTGTTAATTAATTAGTATGTTTTGTAACCCATAGAGTATGTATATACTACTATATATATATATATATATATATATATATATATATATGAAGAAACAAATATTACTTATATGTATATACGTGAAGAAATTGATGTCTATAATTAAAAAACGATGCATTACCATCATAAAAAGTGACAAATTAGTCAGTATAATATATAATTATATATACACACAACTTAGTGGGTGGAGGGGCCAAACGTGTGATTATTAAAAAGTGGGGGTAATTATGCAAAGTCAGATGATATGATAAAAGACCATTACAATAAAGAGAAAAATTCTACCAGCAACCATTTAATCTTTTCCACAATCTAGATTTCAAAAAAAGGAAAACCATAACCAAATGCATAAAAATATTTCGATTAGGTTATTCAAAATTTTCATCATTAAATGTTGGTTACACGCACACTTGCCCCCCCGCAACATTTCTTTTTTAAATCCCCTCCGGATACATACATACATTTTGCACACATAAATAATAGAATATGAAATTATACCACACGAACGTCGGGCCAGACCAAACCGTATCTAAGAAAGAAAACGGTTGCCCGTATTTGGGATTGTGGAGCTTTATTACGGCCCATTGCCATTATAATGTACCTAAACGTATTGTCGGATTGGATTTGTCAATCCATTTTTTTTGGTAGACTTTCAATTTTTTTTATTAAATCGGAGAAAGTCATGTAAATATCTTTTTTCAAATTTAAAATTCAAGCTTGGAATAAAACAGATATTAAACATCCATTGAATCGTCCAAATTTGGATATCTAATTTTAGTTAATGAAAAAGTCTAATTTCAATTAAATGAGACCAAGTTCTTTAGAATTTAACATTATAGTTATCTATATCATCAATCATTTCTAGGATTATGAAAATAAATAAAAAAAAATAAGATTAGAATTATTAAGATTTTTATGAGAAAAATGTTCTTGATATAATATCATTATCATCCCATATAGGTTTGGTTTTGACTGTTTAGAGTTTTCCCAATTTTTAGTTTTTAAACATCTAAAAAATATCCAATAAAGATTTTGTTCTTTCTTTTTCCTAAAAATTCCGGTATACTGTTTTTTTAAACCAAAAAAAAAAAGCCAAAAACCACTTTTTTTTAATAGATTTTAGCTAAAAAATCTCATTTTGATTGCAAAAGAGGGGAAATCGGCCACATTAAAATTACCTTCTGGA